GTGGAAGAGCATAAACAAGAACAGGAACCTAGCAAAGCCGGGAGAGAGGGCGGGAGGGAGGGCGGGGTCGCACCTGCCCCCTCGATAATGGCCAGCACGTTTCCCAGGCGGGTGCTACGCGCGTGCCGGTGGAGGGAAATGTAGAGGACGGCGACAAGACTGAGGAGGACGATGATGGCGACCGACAGGCCGGTAAAAACGAAGAGGAAGGTGCGACCGTGCCGGCGCCGGCGGTGATGGGAGGTGAGGGTCCGGGTACGCTTTTGGGGGGAAGAGCTCACGAGGCCCTCCAGGGCCGGAGTGGTCTCACCGCAGCTGCGGCTGCTGCACACGCTACTGTCGCTGCTGGTGGGGCTGGCACTACAGGCACCGCCAGGTTTAATGGGCAAGATCCCCAAGGTGCTGTGCGAAAGGTGGGACAAGGGCGGGCGTGGGTGAAAGTGAGGGAAATTACACAGGCGGGGAGGGAGACAAGACTGGAGGTGGACAGCTTTTTCTCCTGTCCACGGCCGACAGTACTCTACTCCATGCCTAAACTTGGGTCGCCTTTTTCCCTCCCTCCTCCTTTCTGCCTCACTCACCCCGCGGCATGTGTTCCGTTCCCGCCCCCGGCGGCCGCTCCTTGACCTTCCAGAAGTGTGCTGGCCAGGGGAAAGAGACGTTTGGCCTCCGTGTCAGGACTCGGGCCCCGCGGACGATTAAACATGCGCTTGCCATGGTGAACGTGGCTGCCGTGGGTGGAATCAGGGGGACGTTGCTCGATTTCCCAAGGTTGTATGTGTTGCGCGTGGCCGGTCGGAGGGCGGGGAATGAAGAAGGATGGGAGGGCGGGGCGGGCCGGAGACGACTCCGATCCCAGCAAAGTCACATTTTCTTCCCCTACTTCAGGGAGCTGATAGTCCTCCATCTCCCCATGCAGCGCTCCATCGAACTACGGGATGGCAGGAAAGAGGGGCGGAGTGCATGAATCGTGCTGAGCTCTCTCTCGGTACAGATCTTTCCATGACAGGCCTTACCTTTTCCTCCACCTCCCACCGACGTCCGGGAGAAATGCTGTCCGTCATACCAGGCAATTTTTTCAACACCCAAAACTTCTTTGAGACGGATGTGTGGGCATGCCTGTCGGAACGTCGTGCGATTGTCAGCTTGGAAACGAATGTCGAATGGCGAGGGATGACGGCCTACGGGTGACACGGACATCACCTTCTTCCCGAAGGAACATCCTAACACCCTGTCCATCAGAAAAACAGTCTTGTTTCCCCGTACAAGCCAACCAAGGGAAGACAGGAGACTACTCAAGACACAGAAATGGCGGTGCAGTGGTCGTTGAACCCCCCAAAATTCTCCCTCTCTCCCACGTCTGGACCTGAACTTTCGATGGAAAGGACGGAGAGCAAGGGCAACATACTCTAGGAAGTCAGATTCGACCCGCCCAAGGCAAAAAATTGTGTCCTTCGCCACACATCCCATCCTGAAGCACACCTTTTACGGTGCTAAAATGTATACAACACACGGTCCGGGTGTTGCCTCTTGTTTAGGGGTTTCGATGTGTGATAGGATAGGATGAGGAAGAGCGACGTGTCGGCTGCTCGAGCTTGCTGGATTATGCCTGACGAATTTGGGGGGGGTGCCTTCTTTTCTGGCACTAGACATAATAGTAAAAGAGTTCACAGACGGATATCCATCAAGGATGGACAGTGAAAGATGCCGGCTTGGAATCTTTGTGGGGTTTATCGTTTGATTTGTCAACACTCACAACTCGGTCCTGCCCTACAAAGAATAATTCACCAAGCGGATGTCAGACACAAAACGTGCTCGCACTGTACATTTTCTTTAAGACGTTGACTTGTAATTAGGCAAACCCTTTCCCACAAAAAGAATGATGCATTTAATGCAGTGAATTCGATGATCTTGCGGCGCATTTCCTGCGCGCTCTCTTTTTTCCAATCTATTGCACCACCTATTACTGGACCAAAATCTGATGGTAAAGGTCTATACAAGACAAAACTATTTCCGCCGCAATCAGCACAATGATGATCCATTCCAATTTGTTGCTTTTCTGGTGATTGAGGACCTCCAGGAAAAACTTTGTGTTGCTTTGCACGTGCGAGATTTTGTGTTCGACTTTGCCAAACCTGCAGGGAGGGACGGAAGCACACGGGTGACGAAGAATCCGTACTCCACTTGAGACGCTTTTGCATCAAAACAAAGAGATTTCGCCACTGATGTGCGAGCACCCACGTACCGCTCCCCGATGCTGAACTCATCCCTGAGGTCGTTCCAAAGCGCGTCCAGCCGGTTGAAGTTCCAGGCCGGCTTCGATTGTTCTAGAAGCCCGGAGGACATGGCGTCGGTCAAAATTTTGTTGTTCAACGCCACCTGCAGGGAAAAGAATAAAAAGAGAGGGCGCCATGAGGGAAAGGGAAGAATAAAAGCGGAGAAAAGCACCATGCCCCTGATTACATTCCTCACGTCCATGAATACTCCCTTCCTCTCCTTCCTCTCCCTCTTCCCCGTCCTGATTCCCCGCCTCCTCCCATTACCAGCTTGAACAGATCCTTCTTGTCCATCTCCGTGAAGACGCCCGAGCCCTCCACGCTGTTGTTCAATACCCGGAAGTCCTCCAGCATCCTATCCGCTTTCTTGTTGTAGAAGTTCAGCGCCACGGAATGCCCTATTACGTCCGCCAGCACCTTGATCGAGTCCTCGTTGAGTTCACGCAACTGCACCACATCCTGGCCCATCACGTGGTATTTCTCCTGCCACGGGCGCACCCAGCACTCGAGCGTCTCCCGGAAACGGTGCGACTGAGGCACAACCTCCCCACAGTGCCGGGACAAGGAGTGCAAGTACTTGGCCTGCTCCCCGTCCGGCACGTTGAAGAACACGACCGAGCCGTGCTTGAAGACAACCAAGGCGCTCTGGACGTTCTTCCATACCGTCCCTTCCTGGGAACTGTGCTTTCTTTCCCCCTTGTCCTCCAAGGGGACCAGCAGTAGATCGTCACTCATCTTATAGCCTTGCTGGGAGAGAAAATTGGCTTGCACGACCGAAACCAAGTCCAAATTCTGGCCTACGTAGAAAGCCATGACACTAACGCGCCCACCACTGGGCTCGATGACGGGCAAAGGGGCAGGGAGGGAGGGAGGGAGGGAGGGAGGCGGATCCGTCGTCAGGCTGTCGACTTCCCCGTCGACTTCCAGGCTGCCGGTGGAGGGCTTAGATGCAGCTAGGGGAGAAGAGGGTGGGGCACCGCGTCGGGATATGCCCATTCCGGTTTTGGATTGCTTCAGATTTGACTGTGGGCTGATTTGAATGTGCGCGACAAGAGGGATAGGGATAATGGCTTAGATATGTAGCCTCCGAGGCTGTTGTTCCTTCCCCAAATTTCCCAACATCGTTTTCCAATGGCAGCATGACATTAAGAAGGAGAAGACAAGTACGATGTCATGGTCTTTCATGATTGAGAAGGAACAAACCTGGTCATGCACATCATTCTCCCAAGCACCTACCTACCTAGCTTGGCTGGAAAGGGAGGCAAATCTGCCTCTGTTATGTGGTGTGAAACGCACCCAAAAATGATTCCAGCCCATGTAGAGGCACGCAGGCTCTCGTGATACACCCCTCCTCCATCCTCGGGTAAGTGTAAGGCTTGTCTTGCTCGTGTTGCCGTGAGGCCTACGCCCATCCACGGCATGTGGCCCAGGCCGCATGGAGGCCAAAGGCGTCGTGAAGCTACCCAAGCTGCGCTTGCTTCCCCTCAATATACTGACAGTCGAGCTCGAGACAACCCCGACCCATTGTGTAAACTGCCGTCCTGTCGACAAAAGCATCCTATATCGGGAAAACCTACTGGAAGGAGAGTGATGCTAGTGAGTCTTCCAGAAGCCAAACAACGATGATAGAAGACGGCACCTCGTTGCTTCCCATGCAATGCGGGTCAACCATGCAACAGACCTTTCCACAAGAACCTTGCAATTGAGAAAAGTGTCCCGTGCATTGCCTGCAGCCACACGCAGCGTAGGACGACTGACGTGAAGGGGAAAGGAACAGTAGGAGCCTCGCCAACCTCGCCTGCAAAAGTTCCTGCGGCCTCCCAGGCCCTTTGTCCCGATACGACATAAAATCCCACGCCGAGGCACGCATGTTCTTGTTCTTTCCACTCTCGGGGCAGATGTGTACTTTTTTAAAGCGTGGCCGTTTCGCTTTATGAATGCGTATCTTTTTTTTTTACAAGCTTCCTCTCTACGACCGATCCCCACAGGAAAACCTGGGAGGGAGGGACGCAGCCAAATACTCTCCTAGTACAGTCAAAATATTGCACGCCATGGCTTCTCACGCAGAAGGTATGTGTCTGCGTGTCATTTATCTCTTTATCACCACTCTAGCCTTTCATGACTCTCGGAAAAAAAAATGCTCGCGACAAAATAGAGGCTCCTTGATATCTCCTCGTGCCCCCTGTGTTCTATCCCCCTAAGGAAAGCTACAGTCCCGGGTACTGTTCTTGTTTTTTCTACATTCTCACACCGGATGTTGTGCTTACCTATCTTGTACGCAGAGGACGCCGTCGAGCGCACCCTCTGCCAGATCCGATCAGTGCATGTGTTCAAGATCCCCCCTCGAACGAGCGCAGGAGGGTACCGAGCCTCTGACTGGAAAGACGAGGTGTGGCAAGGTGCTGTTAAGATTGTTCAAAAAGGACTGGACGCTGCGATCGTTCTGACGGATCCCAAGACTGGTAAGGACGCCGTGGTTTGTCTTTCGTTTCGCTTTTGCCGCTGTCTTATATTCCTCTCGGCCTCCTGTGTTTCTTAGTCCGTGACTCTTTCATTTTTCTCCTCCACTCCCGTGATTTCCGTGTTTTTCAAGATGTTGGAAGACGCTCGAAGAATGATGTATTAAGCGTGCATAATTTTGTATTTGATTTTTGCTACCTTTCCCCCCTTGTACGTGCCAGGCTCTCTCTTTGCCATGTCGCCTATCAAAGAGGGTTCCGTGGAACGTTGCGTAGATTCGAGCCGTTACTTTGTTCTGAAGGTTCAAAACGCTGCGGGCAAGCATGCCTTCATCGGTGTCGCCTTCGATGAACGGGA